GTCGCGTAATATAAAATAGTTGTACAACGTTATGTCAAGTCGGAAGTACTTATAAATATAATTACTTTCAGTACAATACAGTTTCTTCTCTTTCTTTTTTTGCAAAGGTTAAAAATAACGATGAAATTAGTCATTAATAAAAATCATCAAGAGATATATAACTGCTTAATCGCTGAATCATTATTCAATTGGTAATCCAATCTGATTGCATTATAAAGACAAAATAATCGCTCATATAAGTTCCTAGTACTTGCGTAGTATGTACCTAGTTTAAATATTACTATACTATTTCAATGATTAATACATTTATATCCTAATATTAAAGATAATCGAGAAATATGGAGAAACTTTATTGCACATTACTTATCAATGCTTGTTATCTTGTAATCTAAAGTGTATCTTCTTTCTATAAGTACTACATTAAGTATCTCAGTGTTACATTAAGTACACAGAATCGTATGTAAAGTGTCATCGAACAGTTTTTAATTCCATTTCATCTATAAATTCTTGTAAAAATTTCTATGTAGTGCACGCATTAATTGAAAGACTTGCATTCAATATCATTATGTGTGTATGTGTGTAATAATGCAATATGCTTAATAGAATGCTGAAATATATTATTAGATGGTGAACTTAAATAAATTGGCACATACTTTCTATATTGAACTTTGCATTCATGATGTATGCCATAGTAAGTATAACGAATACTGATTCTTAATACTACTAATCGCATGAGTGAATACAATGTGTTACAAATGATAGATGAATGCCCAATAATGATATGTATAATAATATATATGAAACTTTTATAATTTTAATTATGAATTAAGAGTTACTTTCTTCATGAAAAATTCTCATCCATTCACATTATATGCATATACAATGTATGACAAGTTATAAGAATCTTATAAGTTCTTGGTATAAATTTCATCATTTAATATACTCGTTATATTGTTGATTAATTGTAATAAATTTCATATCAATATTTTATATATATATTTCCAACATTTCAGAAGATAAATATGGAATGCTGCAATATTCAATCCTTTCTCTACTACGTTTCTCTACTAAGTTAAGGATAACTAATCTTTTAAGTATGTGATTCTCACAGTTCTTATACTAATAAATAAGTCACATCTTAAGATTAAAAAAAGAATCGTCTTAAAAATTATCAAACGAATGCTGTTAAAGGTTTACGCTGATGGGCATTCTCATCTAAATGCTAAAATCATCATTTTATCTTTGTTGTTAAATGTCAAATAAAAACTGAACACTGCATTTTTAGTAAATGCAGAATGTAACTTATATAATCCTCTGATTTAATATTTATTTATATATAATATAATTATATATAATATTGAAAAGTGTATCTCCTAAATTTATAAAAAAGATATAGTCAAAGAAAGAACTTTTTGATTTCCTGCTTGATTTGATTTTCTGCTTAGCGAAAAATTTCATTCATTAAGAAACGGAATATGCCTTATGCAGTAGTATAAGCTCTGTGAATGAAAATTCTTCAATTCGAAGAGCCTTTATATGAAATATGTGATATATATCCATATATATGAAACTATAAATCCTATTTGAATCATAAAGATTAACCGCTTAATTCGTAAAGTCATTTCATCTCGTCCGCACGCAACTTTCGAAATGTTTGATTGTCTTATTACATTATATCCTTAAATACATAATTTTAATTGCTGAATGTTTTGTATTCTAAATGTACACATTGCATTATACTCTATATATAAATATCTATAAATAATATGTATATAAAAACAGCAGATCATACCTCAAATATATCTCAGAATTTGTGCTCATAACACTGATGAACACATTAAGAGATGAAATGACTTTTTGTATATCTTCTCATTATACGCAATATGATACTACAAATAGGTATACAAAAACATCAGAAGCAATAAATAATCGAATTTGACACATAAAATTGTATTACTATAAGAGTATTCAGTCAGTGTAATGTGTCCCTAATAAATAGTGGAAAATGTAAATCTAGTACTAGTTACAAATTCTACCTACCTATAACAATTAAGTACATTAAATGTAAGAGTTCGCCATTTTCTCCTGTTTCTTACAAATATACACAGACATAAATATGTTATTTAGTCTACTGTTGCTTTTCGTGCAAATGCAGTTAGAGACAGCATTTCGTTAGGATCAGTTGGCAAGGGAGAGAATTCAATTTCTTCGCTAATACTGTTCTCTAAAAAGTTAAAACAATATTCTATATTTCACAAATATATAATAAATATAAAATTAAAAAATATAACATTAACGTAGAATGTAGAATTCAAGTTCTAATGTCAATTATTTCCTCGTAATATCGTACAAATTTCAAATCAAAATCTAATGTTATACTTCAATTAAAAAATTTCTTAATCATATTATCGTAATATATTACACATATGAAATATAGAACATCGAAAATTCTATACCGACACGGAGATATCTTGAATTATATTTTGGTTAATGTTAAAAATATGTCCTTACCAGATGGCTCAATTGGCCATTGCTTGTGAGAAGGTGCGTAGAGGCACAATAACGCGATGATGTAGATGTTCCACATTCCGTACACACCAGTAAAAAAGGCAGAAGTCATTTCCAATTGTAATTCATCGTCCCATTTCCATTGTCCCTCTGCAACCTGTACCAGAAACATCAGATTATAATAAACAGTAATGGTGTATATATTTAGATGAAGGATCTAGCCAATTTTTTACCTGTCCCAGTATAAAACCGATAACGGTTAAAGATGCACATAATAACGTAGCTATCATCAAAAATTTAAAACGGTAAATAACTCCTTCATAATGCAGACGCCGTGCCGAACTCATACTAGGTAAAACTGCTCTTTTTGCGCTAATATTCATAAATACTTTCCATATCATATAAGACAGAAATAGCAAGTATACTACAGCCGATACACCAGCTAAAATAATAAAAGACAGCTATTATTCGCTTAAGGAAACCAATTCAGTAAATTATATTAAGAATGCTGGGTAAGACATTTCTGAATCTTGTTTAAGACATAAAACGTATTCTAAAAGGATACTGCCAGCTTCGTTCCAACATCAGTGACCCAAATTGAGTAGAATGGATTTCTCAGTTGCACACCGCGTTCGCACATATCAAAAACGAACAGCGACAGACAACCGGTTCCGACTGCTGAGAGATGCCGCCAATAACATTTTAATGAGTTACTTTGTTCGCCTTCCTAAAATATACATTATGAAATATAGCATTTTGCACAGTAATATAAAAATACAGATCAAAAAATAAAAAAACACTTACCTGAATCTAATGAAGAATATAAAATTCACACATGAAACATAAAAGAATAGATATTATCCATAGTTACAATCATCAGTACAAAAGTTTGAAACAAAAAGAACGTAATTCTCTTACCATTAGATGTTCACCAGCAAATACAAGCCAGAATGATAATAATGTTGCATAAAATACTCCTTGTCGAATATCACCCAATAAAAGCATAAATGGCATGTCATAAGCAAGTGTTAAATATTCCAATGGAACTAAAAGCAGGATTAAAAAACTGTTATAAACAATAAGTAATATAAACTATGCAATATAAAAATGATACAACCAAAAAAATACAATTAACATACGATTTAAGAATGTCAAGGCAGAGCCCAAAGCTAAGAGCATGTACTCCAAAAGTGCGGGTGGTCTCGATAGCATGTGCACTCTTCTCCAGTACCAAGCCAAAACGCCTAGCACTACTGGGAAATAAACGGTCTTTAAACTCACCCACACTTTCGTGAATCCTCCATTCTGATTAATAGCCTGGATTATGAGTAATATATTAGGTAATCTTCATCATTATGGAGAGTATTTTATTAATTAGAAATATAAAAGTTTCATACTCTGTTGTGTGTACTTACTGTAAGCCACAAATCGACAATATGTCCCAATCCTTGATTGATATTTTTATCAGTATCAGCAGGAAGACGAATATTTAACAAATAATAATCATGATACAAAGATCCCAACTCAAATAGTGGCACAACAACACAATTGTAATTATATTGGTCTTGTTTCTGTAAAAAGAATGATAAAATTATAAGTTTGAAATACAGTTGTAATTTCACACCCTACGAACAGATACATGTTAACAATAATGAAGGAGAAAGCATATTCACATTGTCTATACTACAATCCAAGATTCTTTCCACAATAGAAGAAGCATATGGTTTCCAAGCATCATCTGGATCTCCTTTATTTCGATATGCTAGCCGTGCATCTAGTGTTATCTTTGTCCTAGGAGCTTTAGAGAAACATTAATAAAATTTCAAAGATCTACCAAATTCAATGGAAATCTCACAAATAGCAGATAAATTACCAATTTCAATCTGACTGTTATAAACTATGTCCACTTGTAAAACACCAATTAAATTTTGCTGCCATCTCGAATAATCTAGTTGCATGCTATTCCGAGGGACAGGCATCTAAAAGATTTTATTTTTTTCATTTTGTAACATATATTCAATAGAATATAATCTTAACAATTATACCTGAAATGTATACACGACTTGGTAAGCTTGATGATGACTATCTAAACTATAGCGATTCATGTCAACTGAAGTACAAGCATCTTTTCCTCTTGAATAGAACCACTTATTTCCACCAAGTTCAGATCCATTAATACGAATATCCTTACATGGTGTACCAAGAATGTTTTGACTACTGGCAGGAGTAGGAGCTTAAAAAAACAGCATACTAGTTCACACAAAGTATAAATCTATTATATCCTTTATTCCTTTGAATCCCTTCAATTTCAATTGAATTAATAACTCATTAAATATTAATCAGTCTTGAAATTCATGAATATCAATATATTGTTCAAAAAGCCATGGCATAAATATAAAATACAAAAAAAGGAAACAAAACAATAAATATGTTTGTTTTATTACATGAACAGAACTAACGATATAAATACATATATATGATTTATAATGTAAATATTCAATTATTTAAAGCGTTTCTTACCAATTAAGCCGCCTATGAGGAAGCAAACCACTTGTGCAATTATTAAAAGCACAACCAGCACTGACAACTTCTTGCCGCTCAGGTTTTCAATTATGGTGCCTTGCATTTTTCAATTGTTACAATAGTAGTACAATGAGCCGCGACGAATACGCGTCACAAGACAATTTTCAATGGTACATAAACGCCGAAACTGAACGGCCGGGCCACACGCAAACAATAAACTTGCGTTACGGTCGAAACGTCTTTCAAAATGGAAGCCAACGCAATACCAACGTTCGAAAATCAAATTTGAAGTACCGAAGCATCCCTCACCCTGCGAAGATGCAACAATGGCTGCATACAGAGAATACAATAACGATCGACTTTTTTAAAGATGTAATTAGTAAATCTAAAAGTATATATCGGTCACAGATAATTTTTATCAAACGGTTATATAGTCGTTTTGTTTCCGGAGAATTATTTTCGCAAGATATCAATACGAAAGATATTAATATCAAAGTGTAACATTATGCAGTTAGATTAATTGTACAATGTTACACTTTCATAATGTAAGTAAAATAAACATATAAAACAAAAAAAGAAGAAAACTGAATGCAAAAACAAGCAACTAAATTTATTTGATACACTGTTCGATTATGCTATCAAAGAGAAACCAAAAATTTGCCTATGTTTGAAACATACTACTTGAAAATAGAAGTGACCACTTTTATGTTTTTCTTTAATAAGCACGATAGAAATTGCTTAGAAAATATCGCAGTAACCAATCAACCAATCCTACATGCCGTATGTTTCGTAAATACTATTTCCGAGCAAGCAAGTTGCTGAATGGTCACTGGCCATGATCTATATTCTCGAAAATTGTCGCACACGATATATTTTATGAATGTCACTAGATATCATCACGATTCTTAGCCAATTAAATTACCCCATTGATGAAATATCATATACGATATTTTTCATAAATTTTCGAGAATAGCATCGTTTTTAGTTCCAAAATTTACGCTACAAGTCGTCATTATACAAGGGTAGATTGAAAAGTTTCTAACCTAACCGAGAAAGAGCAAGATTTCAGTGAAATTTCAATACTTTTCCAGTAGATGGCAGTGAAGGAGAAGAACTAAATTTGATGTCATTCTAGCGGTTTATTTGTTTTTCCGACAGTCTCTCAAAGTTACATTGGAATGTCAACAATGGAGAAATTAGAATATCGCGCCGTGATAAAATTCCTTTATTTAAAAATGAAAACTCCGCAGAAATTAAAGCTGAATTAGATTTAGTGTATGGAGATGCCGCTCCTTCATTTACGACCGTAAAAACTTGGGCTACTGAGTTTAAGCATGGCAGAACAAACATTTTCGGCGAGGAACACTCTGGATGACCAAAAACTGCAACAACGGATGAAATGATCGATTGTGTTCACCAAATCGTGATGAACGATCATCGATTGACTTTAAGAGAAATAGCGGAGACTGCTGGTATCTCATACGAACGGGCGCACAGCATTTTATATAAGAAATTAGATATGAGAAAAGTGAACACGCATTGGGTGCATTCGGTACTACAACCGCTCACTGAGCACTAAGTGAGCTCTTGCATCTGATTGGTGTAAATTTTTAAATCTAAAAGAATATACCAATCAAATGTAAAAGCTCATTGAGTGCTCAGTGAGCGGTTGTAGTACTGAATGCACCCATTGGGTGCTCACTGTTGATCAAAAACGACATCGGTTAGACATTTCATGATCGTGTCTTGAGCGTTTTAAACGCGATGAAAAAGATTTTTTACAGCGTTTTATTATTGTCAACGAAACTTGGGTCCATCGCTACACTTCGAAGACGAAAGAATAGTCCAAACAATGGGCTGCAAAAGACGAACCGACTCCGAAGAAAGCGAAGAAAGCAGTTCCGTCGGCTGACAAGATCATGGTTACAGTTTTCTGGGACTTTCATGGGATAACTTTTGTGGACTATTTGGAAAAAGGGAAAACAATCACCGGAGAATATTATGCTTTAGAATTATTACAATGTTTGGATATGAAAATCAAGAATAAACGTCCGCGCATTTGGCCAAAAAAAGTCCTCTTTCACCAGGACAATACACCGGCTAACAAATCAGCAGTTGTGGTGGCGAAATTGTACGAACTGAAATATGAACTAATTCCACATCCACCATACTCGCCAGATTTAGCTCCGTGCGATTTTTTCCTGTTTTGAAATTTAAAAATATGGCTATCTGGGAAAAAATTTTCGAGTCGAAAAAACATCGAATGTTGAAGTGATAAGTGCTGTTAATGACTATTTTTCGGGTTTAAACAAAAGTTATTATATTAAAGGAATGACAAGTTTAGAAAAACGCTGGACCAAGTGTATTGAGTTAAAGGGAGACTTTGTTGAGAAATAAATTTCATTTAATTTTCAAAAAAGTTTTTTTCTTAGTCAGGTCAGAAATTTTTCAATCTATCCTCATTTACTATGAAATTAATATCTCATATAGCTCAAGGATTTACAGGAAGGTCTATGGTATTTCTTATTTTTCAAATAATTTTCTCAATGGATGGAGTTGAAGAATTTTTTCCTTATATTAAACATAGACACAATTTAACAAACTTTTACAAATTATCTAAAGAATTTTAACTTTTATTAAATTTTAATTTATATATTTTGAAATACTTATAAGGAATAATATATAAAAATATAGTGATAGTCATGAGTTTCATTATTAATCCTTTGATTTGTCAAATTATCTTAGAATAAATGTTAATTAAACTTTGAACGTCTATGTATTTCAATCTCCTTAATCTTGTATTAATTTATACTCTAAAAAGAAATCACAATATTTTTATTTAGTTCACCATCTTAAATTAATGTTAACTTATTACATAATTATTGAATCATTTGATTTGTATCATCATGTTGCAATAAATCGCACTTATAGCAGCTTTATTAATGGTAATATGCATTGTTCTAGTATTTGTGATACTGTCCAGTTACTATCGTAACTACTAAATACATTTAATATTAAAATTGTTTATACTAAAAGGCTTTTGCTTTCTTTGTCTCTTGGTTGCGTATTTTGTACTGGATTTCTCGAGTACAGTACAACAGCGAAACTCACCATAGCGATAGAAATCACAGTATTTATATTAATAGGTATATTAAATATAAGCCAACAAAGCAGCGCTGTGAATATCAATTCCATCGCGCTAGCGAACGTCTTCAATATGGAATTTAAATTCTTCAAAAAGAAACTCGTTATTATGCCGATAAATGCATTATTTAACATAATTAATATCACTATTGGTTGCACAAACGCGCTGATATCAACATTACTGAATATATTATTAAAACAGTTTTGGAATATACTTAATGCAATAATTACTACGATGTTGCAGAAAATACTGTCGATATACATAAATACATTTTGTACAAATATATTGATGTCCGCACCTTGCTGTTTAAGTAGGTACTCGTTATATACACCAGCTAGGCAAGAACATATTGTCTGGAAAGTAGAAGAGTCTTTAGAAAGTTATTGTAGTTATACTAATTACAGAAATTATCAATATGATAATCAGTATACCTGTACAAGAACTAAAAGTAGAGAACTATCTACATGGAATTCAGTGTTGAAAACACTAATATCGAAATGCTTCACCATACAACCGACTGTCAAGAGCACTAAAGAGAACCATTGTATCGCCGATAACTTTTTGTTAAAAATGACCTAGAAGAAATGAGAATTTGTATATTGTCCATTGCTCAACACCTGTTCCTTTATACACGCGTCGAAAAAAATGTATCACCGATGTGTATACCTGAAAAACGACTCCTGTGAATACAACTCGAAGTTGCAGCAAGACATAATAAGTTGTAGGATCGAATCTAGCCAAGTTAACAAACGCTAGATTGTTGTAGAGACAGTATAAAAGTGAGGGTATCATATACAGCAGAAGTACTAGAATTGAAAATTTTTTTCTTCTTAGTCCATTTTGGGATTTCAATCATGCAGTATAATAACAAAAATCTCTGAAATCATTATCTCTACTTCAATCTTACCTTTTTTATTTGTTCTTATTTCCTTAAATAGAGTAAATATGCTATTGCTGAAAAATAAATTAAAGAAATAATAAAATAACATATGTAAAATCTCAACCATACAAAAGCAAAACTTAAATTTTATTTCACTTACTCCTTGCAATATAATATTATAGATATGAATAATTTCAAGACCTCTGTCAACAATACAACTGCTACAATGTTGTACTCATAGCGACCGCTTCTTTGGGACCATGTCACAAGAATACCTGCAAGAGATTATCGTATCTTGTATTTTTATTAAAATATTTCTTAATTAATACCATCCAATCTTGATAAATTAAATATATTATGAAACTATATGTCCCTGATGTGTAATCCATAGTGAAATAATATATTGCGTAAAAAATATAGACTTATATATTATATCACTGTAACATAAATACATAGTATTTATATAAAATGCATAACCTCGCCATTTATTACTTATAACGTGAGAGATAGATCAAATAAAAATTTAGAAAATGTGTCATTACACATGACAGTACCTTGATTTACAAAGAGAGCCATATAGGAAATGAAAATGATAGGACTCCATCTTCCTGGAAACAATTCATTCCAATTTATCCCACCCATTGCACGATGTCGGCTTTTCTTAGCCGATGACTTCAACCGCAACGGTTTTTATAAATCATCTTTGGCAGAGTCGCTCTCTCGCTGACACTGGTGTATAAAGCAGCACGACCGTTGGCGGCCGGACACTGGCTGCCTGATACTCTGTAGATTAGACGTATTCGCATTGGACATTGGATAGTGTGATTGTGTGGCCTATATATGTTGTATGGTATGTATGTGTGTATATACGTGACTTAGAGAAGTAATAGCATACGTGGCTTCTCATAATATGCAAATCTGCATCTATTATCATTATTGATTATCAAAGTTGATTGTTATTTTACAGACATACTAAAATTTATGTATATTTTATTTCAATTTATAGTTTATTGTATTTATCACGCTGCTAGCATTAAAAGAAAAAGAATAAATATATACATAAATCTTCCCAATCTAATGTAAATTTTAAGTTATTTTCCTTATTTGTTTCTCTTGACCACTTTAAAAACAGCTATATTTTCATGCTAAAAAATTGTTTCATGGGTTTTTCTGCACATGGTACTAGACTATCAGTTTTACAATATTTTCACGACTTACGAGTGTAATTCCGATAACGTATCAGTGAACGTAATGGTTAAAAGCGATATGATATCGAACGTGTAATCGACAGAGAATATCAAGTCAGTTATTCCGTGTGAGAATAATTGTATATATTCATTTTGATAAAAATATCAATCGCGCAAGTCTAATTATATTTCAATTTAAAAAAACATCGTTATATAACAAAAATTGAATATATAGAAACAAAGAGAGAGATAAATTACTTTGCGCATTATAATTTTTTATATATTATATATATTATCTTTTTATATTATATTACATAGCCTTTTTTTTATATACACATCTATAAACATGTATTCGAAATTATCGAGATACTAATATGTTCATTTCTAAGTTGTTTTCGATTGTTGTCTATGTAACTGTCCATTTGCACTTCATTTCCAAATTGTACATTTGGAAGCACGTATATGGAAAAGTTTTATCACATATACACATATGATGTGTATTAAGAATTTAAAAATTATGTATATGTTGAATAATAAGTATTACCGGCATTGAGAGATGATACTCGTACTAGTAACAACATATATATGTATATATACACATTCACACATATATACACACACGTACGCACACATATACACACACGAACACATACACCCACACACACATACATACACATACACAATATGTCTAATTCTCCAGTAGATCTTTTATAATTTTCAATTACTAAAATTGTTTCATCTCAATGCGTTTGAATGACTTATGTAAACGAATAAGCGAACGTATAAACTGTGTCCTCAAAACATATGTATGCATAACATTTAAATAATACCTGTAAGAAAAAACCCATTTATATTTATCAATAAAGCATGTGTTTTTAAAATTTATATTGTCATAGATTATGACAAGGCAATGTAGCTATTCATTTCTACAACTTATTACGTATATATAGCATAGATGCAGAACTATATAAAATATGTTTGAAATGTCATTAAATTTTTAAAACATATTCTACATGGTTACATGAAGAAAGTTAATATAATCATTTTCTAAGTTTTCTTTATCCTTAAAACAAGTAGAATTTGCTATCAAAACTTCAATGTTTGTTTCACATTCCGTATATTTTAATCTTATAGTTAACATTTTCAATATATTGCCTTTTTATATATGTTGAATTTCACAAAGAAAAGAAAAATTATGTTTTCGCTGTAGATTTAATAAATATAACCATCACAATATATTTTGCAGCAAAGAATCGTTAAAATGTCTCTGAAAAACTATGACAGCAGATAGTGCAAAGGGTATTTGCCTGCAAATATTGCACTTAATACCCACTTACGTAATTTGTACTCGTTAAAACATTTCATAATATAGTGACCTACAAAATGCAAGTGTTATTATAAGAGCACGTAGTAAATATATTAAAAACACATTAGGACCAGTTGCCGATAATTATTTTTACTTTTGATACGTATTTACGCTACGTGTGAACACAATCCAGAAAACAATTAATGTGCATTGATCAGGCACATATGTATATTAGTATCAATCGTTATAATTTCTCGATCGTTATAATCGTTTTAATTTCTCTCTTACATTTCTACAAGATTTCAGTCTAATCAAATATGAAGTTTTAACTAACATTATCGCTGTAAACGTGTTACGGAAATTATCACGCAACAGAAAATCGAAGGCCTTTATATATTTTTGTTAGACATCTAGTGCAATCTCATATATTCAGAGATTGCATTAGATCACATGGCATACATATAATTTACAGAACGCATTGATCTTTAGGTCACACATAACATTCGCTGTAACATTTAAAAAAATTGTAAATGTATAACACATGATATATACGTTAGATCATCAAGATTTAACTAAAACATGAATATATATTGTATATAAAATTAAATTTTGTCTGTCTGTGTGTTTGATAATATGGCTAAATTGTGATTCTCATACCCAAAAATATTAACAGCCAATATCAGAAATTTTTTTATTAAATATCAATCTGTTTATTTTTTAACTACTTTACTACTAACATCTCTATCGAATGCATATAATGCTACGTAAGTTCTAATAATTGTATTACAACGGAAAATAAACACAAGATGTGTGAATAAATAAAATAAAAGAGTTGTAAAAAGTATGAAATGTTTTGCATATACTGAAAATTAATTTTCATTCTTTTTCTTTAGGAAAATTGTCACGAATTGAATGATCACAACTGTCCAATAACTTGAAATTATTCCATAAAATACGTGTCTGTAATATATATATATATATATGTATTAGTCTGACGTATTCATTTGCTTCATAATCTGTTGCGTAATCAAATTAGTAGCTTCGCTTGCGTTGGGTATAAGAAATTTGTCCATGTCAGTAATAACTGTGTCGTTACATTGTGTTGTACCATACTTGAAAGTTATCAAATCTGCATGTCGCTTTCTAGATGTTATTCTAACAATACTCGTTAAAGGACGTTTCACGATCACATGGGCGGCACCTTTCCGTTCTTGAATTTCTCGTAATACTATAAGATGGCTATCGGTAACCAGCAGTTGACTGCAACAAAAGGAAACGTACATAGAAGAATTTAACTTTATATCTAAGAAATTCATTGTTTTTGCTATATGTGCTTACCTATCACAGAGATCACCATTAACTTTGACTTCTTGGCATTTGAAGGAATGTAATAGTTTAGGATCTTTCATCCATTGCTGTATAGATACCACTTCGACAGGCTGTTCACTTTCGTTATTGGTCATCGTCATATCTGCGACAAGAAATAAGAAACGACATTATTATATCAGACAGATTTCCTCTCTCAAGACCAGTAATGTATGATCGTTAAAAAACATTGGATGATAATGATTACCTAATTCTTGATCATCGTCTATACTAAACACAGGCGCTGTTTTCCTCTGACGTTTAATGTAATCCAAATCTTTGCCGTCTTTCTTTTCTGTATTGCTATGCACGCTTGCTGAAGGATTAACGATATAATCGAACAGCTTTCCCTTTACTTCTTGACTCTTTAGTTTCATAGCTAATCCGATTTTTCCTAAAAGATCCGAATTGTTGTTTTTTACTTTAACCGGACTCGCTTCATTCGAATTTTCCTCCAATATATTAGTATTGCACACTAGACAATGTTGCGAATTATGATCAATCAAATTTGACACCACTTCGTCGCCAAAATATTCATGAATAGCTGGAACCAAAATAATTATCGCACGTGAAAACATAATATATATTTGCCTTCGTCAAAAGGAATAACTATATATTTATAGGTAAATTAATAGAAATATAAGATAAATTACCCTGATATCCAGAAGTGACCATGCTCACGTATTGCGTGTGCTTTTGCAGAAAGGATGCCACTACCATGTGAGTATAACGATCTTCCTCTTGTCTACCACTTCCCAGGAAGCAAAGATGTTCCCCGCCAGCTTGCGAACCAACTGCAAGCGCTTGACGCTGAGCTTGTAGTAAACCTTGCACTGCTGTAGCAAATGCAGCAGGTTCTTGAAGCATCTAAAACAAAAATAGGAATGCTAAATGTGTGAAATTTTAGTAAATTTATAATATTAATTTTATGCGAGTGGTAAAACTAAATTAATTATATATATATATATATATATTGTTGTATTTAATATCTCACCAAGTTGCAATCCAGGTGAAACGCAGTTGGTAGATGACCTGCATTATATTGTTCAGCAGGTCTGCAGTCTACGAGAAAGAATCTAACGGACTCGACAGCGCTGTTAAGTACGGATGGAGCCTCGATAGCATTCTCCACTAATTCTTGCGCCGATACAGGTAAACACAATGCGTGGGATATTAACTTCTCGTCCGAACCATCACCGAACATTACGGGATATAAGTCTTGTTTGAATGACGTTGGTGTTTTCATCGCGTAGTACTGCGCCAAGGAACAGAAGTCAGTTACATCGTCTGCTTCCAAAGCACACGGCATTACCGCAATAGCATCTATTATGCTTTGTTTATCTTCATCCTTCATATTTAAGATTTGTTCTCTGTAAAGGTGAGAATTTCGTTACGTAATGTTATCAACAGATAGATACGTCAAAGCATCCGTTTGATATATTTACCTGGCATTTATCACCATGATAAGCGAGAGAAACAGCATGAAAAATGGATCGGCTTGCATAAAGTATAAATCCCACATCGTACAAATCGCTGGTAACGAACAAACGCCAGCGAAAAGTGTATTCATCCATACTTTTGTATATTGATCGGGCGATATCCTTTTCGTGTCCAAGAAAGAGCATAGTTCCGGCTCGTGGTAAAGCAGCAACAATCGCAAAACTGAACTATACGTTTCACCTCTGGTGGAAAAATTAATAGTTTCGTTTAAAATCGAATAATACTATGAAATAAAAACAAGTCAAGAAGTCTCTGTGACTTTTAATATTTTATCAAATATTTTTTCATGAGAATCACGACACAGTCATTGAAGTATCATAAAGATATAATTATTTGTTTTATAAATTATATCATGTTTTTCTCATATAAAAAAGATAATAGTTACTATGATGTTATTATTATACCTTGGAATATAAATATCTATTATCGCCTCAAAAAGATTGTAAGTTGCAGCACGCGGTAACTTTAATGCTATTAAAGGTCCCAGTACTTCCAACCAACCGTTGCCTTTTTCATATTGTTTACATTTACTTTTACAATAAAATGTTAATATAGACTCCAAATCAGAAACTACAGAAACTTTGTCTTCATCATCATTTCCAAGCTTTGCTGTAACATTTGATAATATTTGTTACTAAATATATAGATTATTTATTGATTATGTATACTGCATATAAAATTCTTTTCACATTCCTTTGGCTTACCTACTAATTGTTGACAATCATCACGAATTATATTTTGTTTAGGTAAATCAAAAACTTCATTGAAATGACTCAATTGGTCACCTCGTTCAGTTACAAACAGACAAGCTTGCCAAACTTCTGGCCTTAAGTTTGCAGGGACTGGTTGGCCTTTACAGATAGCATATATATCAGAGGCAGATGGTGCCTCTGTATCCAGAAGCGCTGCTTCTAATTCCAATACCCTAAAGTAACAAGCAATTCATTTAAAATTATAATGAGCATGAAACTTCTATCTGCAGATGACAGATATCTATCTGTCTTATTCTTTAATCTTAAAGAATAATACACAAGGAGTATATGCCCTGTGTAGACATGAGTCATTAAGTAGTGCATACTAATTAGTACTTTGAAACAGTAGAATATAACTCGCACTCTTCTGCTAATGAAAAACCTGCCATTACATTTAGTAGTACAGCTATAGATGAGAAAGCAACTCTATAACCACTAAAATCTTCGTATTTCACATGTCACAGTTCCTTGTTGCAAACTGTATCGCGACACAGCAATGTATATAGAGCAATATTGTACATGTGCAATATACGAACAATTTGTACTTGTGCGAGCAATTTGGTTGCAATCTCGACAGGTTAACAGTAGTGAACTTCAGACGCGCATTCTCGCTGGGAAAACGTCATCGGCAAGATAAGAAAAGACCTCGACTTCAACTTACCAGGTGTTTTCGTCCTCCTGTAGTGCCATTGCGGTAAACGTCACAGCGAGGAAACCCACCAACGTGCTGCGAGAGAACACGGGAAAACTGTAACGTCCGTTAAAAGTCGCCACAACGCGAGGAACTCTCGCGGTAACTCAACATTCTTCGTGACACCTCGTAATCATCGCGACGACTTTCATATCTTGCAAACTCCGCTCTTGACTTCAACGAACTCGTAGCATAGTAGCTGATAAAACGTAGCTGCTGTTGACAGACCGTTGCCATCTTTCCGGCAAAGTTTCGTTCGCGTGCGCAGACAACATGGCGCGAATTCTCGACGGATAAGAGCGCTTTCGAAATACGATATTCACAATATAGAATGCGTACCGTCACTTCGAAATCGCTAATGATTCTAACGAACGCGTATACCTCATGAACGCTATAAAAATATTGAGAAGTTATTACATAAGACAAAGCGACACTTTGGAGTTTCGTTTGAAAAGCTTCGGGAATGTTTCAGAACTGCCATAACGTGTTTGATTTGACGTGACGATTCGATAGTTCGACTACAAGTTCGATGGTTCGATAGTGGTTGAAAAGTGAAAGGTTAAGAACACCAGCAAATCTTTGTGCCACTTGAATTTATGGGAAAATTGAAGTACATAATACGAAAAATAAAGGCACTTGGTCCTGACCGGCATCATCATGTGCAAGGATTTTGATCTCGAAAAAAACGCGGATCTTTGGATTAACATTTCTTACTTCGACTTTTCGATATTTTCTCAGAGGGCGCAAGTACACTTACGAAAGACTAGCAGACTTACATAAGTCGCCTAAAAATCCTCGATAGCATGGCATTGGTGCTGAGACCGACGAAGCAAAAGGTTTCGGGCATCGCAGTGAGCGTGCACCGTCGTGATAGTATCGAGTGTATGTACGATCGCTCCTTCACGTCTCGCATCATTCAGACGTGATCGGAAGGAATTACGTTCGCAAGGAGAAACGAAAAGACCGCGTGCCCGCGTGTCCGCATGTTCGTCGCTAGGACTTGGTGTTCTCCGTACTCTTGCAATAACCTTAGCGGAAAAACGTGTCGGTGAGCAACATCGAGTCATCGACAACAGCAGCATCACCGTTGTCCTCGTCGTCGTATCTGTCGACCAGCACCGTAACGGTGTCACGTTTCACCGGCAATAGTTGAAAGAACCGGCGAAAGAACGAATGTCCGTTACGGACGGAACGAGTAGTGGCGTGGCCAAATGGCAACTTGCCCTGGTGGTAGGTGCGCCGGTTGCTCTTGGCCTCGGTTACATGTACTATAAGAAAAATGTCCGGACTAACTCCAAGCCGGATCGTCATGGCAAGCCCAAGGAAAACGGCGCGTCGACTGATAAGCAGATCTCCATCGAAAACGGCGACGTCGACGGCAACCAAGTGCCTTCCTCTGCGCCTAAGCAACCTGAGGTAAAGACCACGTATTCCCTGAGACTACGGATCCGAGACTGCTGAATTTTAATTTTAAAATTCATCTCTCATCTATGATCCAATGGGCAATAATTGACGAGAATCCATTCATTAAAGAAAGAAGTTTTTCCGAACAGATCTCACGTGGTCGTTAACAGCTCACGTGCCCAGTTTTCATTTTTATTACTGGAAAATTCGAACGAGTGATAACTATAAATTTGCTTCCTTTTGTATTTCCCGATAATTGTTAATATTTAAAACTAATAATTGTTGATATTTAAAATTTCAATGATGCAATATTCACAATGATGCACAACCAATATAATATAATATAATAATCCTCTGAATCAAACTGTTCACTCCATACTATTATAAATTATATACTAAAGAATATAAAAACTGATCTCATAACAATAATAACACATAATGCTTTTATTCTAGACTCCCTTAGAAGAGGCGCAGAGATATAAGAAGGAAGGAAATGCATATTTTAAAATAGGAAAATATGACAAGGCCATAGCTCAATACAATACAGCAATTGAGATTTGTCCAGCTCTAAATGTGGATGAAGTAGCAACTTTTTATCAAAATAGAGCAGCTGCTTATGAGCAATTGGTAATACAGATGATAATGATGATGATGTAGGCTTGCAAAAGAAAATTTTTAAGAGGACTATCTAGTTTGGGCAGTTAAAAAAGAAGACATTGAATATTTTTTTTTTAACCCTTTGAATTCGAAGCCATCTCACGGACACTTACAATGTTCCCTCAGAGGAGACATCCGAGTGCAAAGGATTAATATTTTTTTAATATATATATATATTTATTCAAGATACTGCTTTATACAAGTTGGAATTAAATATATGTATCCATATTTCAATTTTAATAATGTTGTATAATTGTTTTCCAAATTAAAAAAAGAGGGTTTTGCTAAAAAATCCTTTTTTGGAAAAATGAATTAAATCACTTGTAATCAATAAAACGGAGTCAAAAATTTTCTTAATCTATTTCAATGTAGCTACAAACAGAAGCATAATTATTAAGAAAATATAAGAGAATAAAGAAGATAACAAATATCTAAGAGAAAAAAACAATTTTTCGTAATGTTATATAAACAAAAAATATTGCGTTAATCTGATATCTTAGGCTTCCATGGTATAGAAAAATATTTGATTTAATTTCTGAGTCTATGTGTACACCACGACTGTCCTGGATTTGTTCTTAATGTTTCATGAACATTCCAATTCACTTCTTTAAGGGAAGGATTATTCAGAAAAGTATTTTCTAGAATGTTGACAAAACGTTGGAATATACATGCACAAATCCAAGATGGGCACGACACAAACAGAGGAATCAAATCAAATATTGCGTTAATCTTAAATAGTTCCAATTATAAAAAGAAATACGAATATAGGGAAAATACGATTCTGTAAAAATGGACTGTACAAAAGCAATAGAGCTAAAACCGAGGTATGTGAAAGCTCTGTTACGTCGAGCACGTGCTTTAGAACAAATGGGGGATCTTGAATCAGCTTTGGAAGATGTCACTGCCACATGTATCTATGAAAGCTTTAGTAATCAGTCATCTCTTCAACTGGCAGATAAACTATTGAAACAACTTGGTAAGTCATTTGCAATCACATCTAAATATTGAATGAAAAATAAAATACTATTTATAACAATCCAGAATAAAAATTTAAGGAAAGAGAAGGAAACATTTCAACAATTCAGAATAAATATTTTCAGGAAAGCAACATGTTCATGAAAACTTGCAAAATAAAAAGTTTATAATGCCAAGTAAACATTTCATCAAGACTTACATGGTATCTTTCCCTAACGATCCAGTGTTTTCTAGACTTCAACATCCATTAGAAGATATCCCAGAGTGAGTAATAGAAAAATCAAGTTTTAGGGATTATGATATAATATCATATGTACAACTGTTACATAATAATTTGATTACCAGACTTTATAAAAACCTGCTTCAAACATTAAAAGACGAGAAATATGATGATGTAATACCGCTGTGTACGGATATCATTGCCAGTGCCGAATTTGATACATTATCGTGTAAAATGGAGATATTACTTCTACGAACCACATTTTATCTTCTCTTGGGCCAACATACTTCCGCGTTTGAAGACTTAGATGTTATAATAAACGACAAAAATGTGCCTAAGAATGTGATATTGAACGCGCTTATAAAGAAGGCAACTTTATACATGCAACTTGAAAATCCAGACATGGCTGTGAAAGGCTTTGAAGCAGCTATCAATCTGGATGAAACTTATGGTGATATTTATCATCATAGTGGACAGGTATTGCATACCATATTATGCACCATATTTATGCATAACATATTTATTTGTCAGTCGCATATCATAGTGTGTGTCTGTTAGTATACATAGTGATTTTATTTCCTGTTTTAGATGCATTTACTTTTGAATAATGTGGATGAAGCTAAGCGCGATTTTGAGAAAGCGGCTCGTTACAATCCAAGCTTCGGTCCTGGCCACGTGCAGAAGTGCTATACAGATTACCGTTATGCAATTTTCTATAGAGATATAAATGCGTTGCAGAAGGCTGAGAAAGACTTTATGGAAGCTTTGGAGAAGTACCCGGATCGTCCCGAAGGTTATATGTTGTGTGGACAGGTAATATACAACAATTGGCTCAAATATTTTGATAACGAATAAATATACCGTCGATTGTACGCAATTTTTTACACATCTTTCGACAGATGATGGCCGAAAGTCAAGATTACGAAAAGGCGGATACATACTTCGCTAAAGCGTTAGAAATAGATCCAGAAAATGCGAACGTATACGTGCACAGAGGTTTACTGCAATTGCAATGGCATGGTAACACCAGTTCAGGAATCGATAAAGCTGTGGAATACATTCATAAAGCATTGGAAATAGATGAGAAATGCGAGCTTGGATACGAAACACTAGGTACTATTGAAGTACAAAGGTACGTTCCCAATTGCGTCTGTTTATGATTAAACTTGTACTTTAGTGTTTTCCGAAATGATTTACGATTGCATACGTAACTTCTATGAAAGAAAGGAAAAACACTAAAAATATTCTTTATAAAGATGTTTCCATACATACATGTACGTACATATATTTTTTGCAGAGGCAACTTAGAAGAAGCAATTAAGTTGTTCGATAAGGCTTTGGAATTGTGTCGTACGTCCATGGAACTCACACATCTGTACAGTCTGAGAGACGCCACAAAGACACAACTTACCTTAAAAAATAAATTAGGACTAGATATCAAAGACGCTCCGAACGTATCTTAAAGTATCAAAAAATTAACAATAAAAATAATGCACTTGAACCAAATTGGGGATTTCCTGTTGTGTCAACGTAACGCGTATCCAAGAATCGGGAAAGATATTTTATTATTTCTTGTTGATATAGTATGCGGACAATAGTACTTTATTCCTAATTGCATTTGTTTGATCTCTATGTACACAAGAAAAGATAGTAACATATAATATGTTAGTTTATCACAGATGTCCTGTAGTTTAAAAATATTTGTTATACAATGAGATTTATACATTATTGAGCTCAATATTTGTATATTATTGTTTGCAAGACTGTCTTATTTAACGAAGATCCTATGTTTATGTCTATGCAGATCTGGTATATACATTTTGATTATAATTATGATCTTCATTTTTGATTTTTTAAACTTAAAATGTTAATACGCAGATTATATGTTGATACTGTTATTCGATATATAGGATATTTTATATAATATAAAAAGCATTGATAGGAGGGGGGGAGAGAGAGAGAGAGAGCTTATATACAAGCATGAAATTACATTTTGTATTATTCTGTACATAAGACATCAGTATGAGGCAATAATCAAGTTTTTAAACAAGTTGTATGTACTATTTATATTATTTTTGCAATAAGAAAATTACATGCGAAAGTAATTCTGCGATTATACATCTTATTTTTTTCTCTAAAAAGTGACGCACATTGGTAAATTGATAATTTGTAGAATGCTTTGGCACACAAAATAATGCATCGTGTATAATCAAGAGAAAACATAAGATTTTAATCGACCACTCTACCAAATTTTACAATGAAGAGGTAGAAACATTATGATCATATTGATCATATAATATGTATAATATTATAATAAATTTGTGATTTGAAATTATAATATTATGTTTCAATAAACCTATTTCTAATAGTTACTAAAATAATAAAAATATAATTACTGACATAACTTTTATATTTCAAGCAATATATATATATACATATGTCAAAGAACGCACATTTGCGCTTATTCAAACATCATAAAATATGGAAGCAAGAGGATACCTGATAACGAAAGCTAATGCACTGCTAACAATCTGAAAGACAATAAATTTATATCAGTATATTTTAATATACATTATATGTTTGTTTTGTACACATTTATTCAAAATGTTACCTGTATTGTTAGTAGAATTGATGTGAGTGTTGGTTCTCTCAATGGACCAACATTGATGAGTACAAAATTAATCAAAGTTAAGTTGTTGCAAGTTATAATGCCATTTTGATCTTCTTGCCACTTTATCAACCTGAATGTTTTTAGTATCCACATCAACAACCTGCCTAATAAAATAACATACGATTTTATAAAAAATATAATCATAAGATAAGTATGCAAAATTGTTGTAGATGTAGATGATCCTACCAATCACGTTAAGTTCTGATTTGTAGAATATAATTACACTAGGTTCCATTAGATCTGTTTCTTTGTTATACCTGCGAAAAAAATACATATTGTTAGAAAATTCTTAATAGAATTTAACGATGTTCCTCAGATATTTTTCCATAACTCACTTTGGTAATCTGTGTCTAGGGCACGGTACAAAACGAAAAAGTTGCGGCACACTGTAGAGAAAATTTACGATTTGCGGAATGAAAAAAAGCAAAGTAGTTTTACTAAAGTGGCCTATAATACCGACGACAGCAAAAGTCATTCCCGATAGATAGCAAAATGTATCACCTACGAAAACCTGCGATGGGTACCTTAAAAAAAAAAAAAAAAAGAGAGAGTACATTATTGGTCAATTTTCCCTTAACATACAATAATCCTAAACATAATCAACTATAGAACGAAATACATAAATAGCACAGAACGTGATCTTCACGCTATCACTATTTGGATACGAATATGTTTTTTCCATCACACACATTGTACACATTTCTATAAAACGCCCTATTTATAATGCCCTATTTATAAAGGTCTCATTTTTAAACATAGATACGAAGAATGCAATCGCGTGAAGAGAATACGCACAAGGCGTGAATCATCCTGAAGGAGCCTGAAGGAGCCTGAAGGAGCAATTTATTGCTCCACGACTATAAGCGAAGGGCCAGACCACCATGGTGACTACAAACATACAAGAGTACCCAACGGGAACCATTTTCCGCTGTGAAAGCAGCGCAACAGATTAGGGGTTATCGCAAATCGCATTGTAATAGCATTTCATGACGCTTCGTCGTCGTAAAACTCATTCTGACTCATCGGGGCGGCGTCAATTATTACTCATGCTTCACAACAGGGGCGAGATGTGTGTATATAAAGATACACAATTAATGAGATGCCGCCGCCGCCGCTCTAAGACGCGTGCGCCTTGCGAATAGTCGCGATCGCGCTTGTGGCGAGAGTTCGCCGACAAACGGACGGACCAGCGCCAGCTCCGGCTGGCTGGCTGGTTGGCGTGGTGCGACACTCGGGCGTGGTTTTTCACGTCGTCGGGGTGTACTGCTGCTGTCGGCAGGCTCCGAGCAGGGAGACGGAGAGCCGCCCTGAGCCCTATCTCGAGCGGGGTGTCAGGCAACGACTATCGGCGTGACTAGAAGAACGTGCGCGTCGCTGGCCGATCGTGTAGTCTCGCCGCAGGATCCATTTAAATCCGCCATAGCAGCTGAATATAAAAAAAAAGAACGGTTACAGGGGGGAGAGAGCGTGTTCTCGAGGAGGGATAGATATTTAGAAGAAATCCGCCGGTCTTACAAGTGTCGACGGCGATCGACTTCGGTAAGATCGTGACCATTTGCGAGCGCGAGTTAAATGGCACGTCGCGGCGCCGCAGTGACGTCACAAACCTGGTTGTACCAGCAACGTCACGAGCTACCGAGACTGTCGTCGCTCTCGTCGTCGTCGTAGTCGTCGGACACGCACATTGTGAGCGGCGCTTTATTATGTAATACATAATATGCGCACACACCGTCGGTGTGTCGATGTCACGCGTGCGTTCGTGTGGGGCGGAGCTGCCGGGACGTTTAACTCTCGCGCGAACCGGTTCAGCTCGCTCGCTCACGACGGATAATTCGATTGTGACGAGCTATTCGCCATGTGATCCCACCGCAATGCGGTGGACCGGTGTGTGGCATCTGTGTGCTTAGACTTCGCGGCTGGAAATTGCAAAATTATCGCGATTCGGTGCGACGGTGGAGAAATATGCAGGGTAGAGGAAGAATGAGGTCTCATTAGTGAGAAACGAGATATAAGATGTCATATATATGCCGGGAGAAACGAGGTCACAGCGAATTTCTCGTTTGAGAAGAGAAATGCGCGAGCGTAGCGAGTGCTGAAAAAAGAGGCTGAAAATCGATGTCGGAAAATCGATCGATCGGATAAAAATGTAAATTCAAGATTCGTCATCTGTTGTCTTTAAAGTTAAAGATACGCCAAGTGAAACATACCGCGTCTCGTGAGCAGGTATTTGCGTTAGTAGCGATGAGAATGATGCAATAGCTGTTAATTCTGTTCTCAGATGACGGCCGTGGGAGTGCAATGTTAACGAAAATGTCACCGCTAATAAGCAAGAGTCATTTCTCCAGGGACATAAAATGAAATATTAAATAATTCGACCAAAGGAATTAGTGCCATGCAGGCCCGTCTAGATGGAAAGCTAGCGTTGCTGTATACCTTATTGGTCTTGCAAGTTCTCATTGTTATGATCTACGTGGCCACCACTCCGCCACCCGAGCTAACTGTATCGACTACTCGTGCGTCTGTCAGTTTCGTCAAGTTCGAGACGTCACAGGTAATTTGCGAAATTTGACTATTTCTGGTTAATTCTAGTTAGCAATAGCACTGATCGTTACAAGATGAGAATTTTCTCTTTTTTTTTTTTTCCTTTCGAATCGAAGGAGCTGCAGATAAATCAGGGCAATCGCAAAAAATCATCAATCTACCAGACAATCAATGGAGAGATAGTATTGAAGGATGTCAAGACTTTTAGATTGTTCGAGATATATAATCATACCGTATGCTGGAAATTCGGGGTAGACGAGCGCAAGATGAGAAGCAACGAGCATCTGGAAAGATGTATCTGCAATCAAGGATGGCACGGTTTGGACTGTGGACAGCCGGAGGTTGTATGGAGGGCAATCATGGCGTCGAAGCAGAACATCAGTCTGAAACGTCGCAGAGAGGCCAGACGTATTATTCACACGTTCTGCTTGAGCGAATACAATTCGGCGGTCGTCGAGGTGATAGTGGAAGAACTCTACGATGTAGTGGACCTTTTCGTAATTTGTGATTTCAACAATGCCGAGGACAATTTTCGGCACAAGCTGTCCAAGGGGCTGCTACAGCGACAGCAGAAGAAGATTTTATACGTCAACGTGGCGACCAAGTCCCGCAAACCGTCGAGGATAGTGGCGAAATACGTCTGGGACCGAGTGAAAGCCGTGGTGCAGAGCTTAAGGGACGATGATATCTACGTGACGACGGAGCCGGAGCAGATACTGAATTCCAGGGCATTAATGTTCCTCAAGATGTACGACGGTTGGCCTCAGCCTATAGGATTTAGATTAAGGTGGTCGGTATACGGCTTCTTCTGGCAGCATCCGCTCAAGACAACGATAATGCTCGGCGCGTACACGATCGGCCTGATGCGAAACGCCTATCAGTCCAATTCCGTCGTGTTGCGCCGACAATTGGACGGAGACGCTAGCGAGAGAGATATTTTGGGATTAGTTATAGGGGATCTAAATCACTACGGCGGCTGGTATTGCTATTTATGCCAAGCTCCCGCTAATATTATTATCGGTCTCCATCATAAAATTCAGTCCAAAGAAATACATATAGAGGAGACCGTTGACGTGCCGTTCGTTGAGGACCTAATAGGTAGCGGACTATGGTTAGATGGTAAAAGCAATCTCCTGAGAGTCTCGAAATCGAGGGATTCCTACTTCGCGCCTGAAACAATTCTCAACAACACGTGGAAGTACGACTGGCTGGTAGAGAACTTCTACGCTAAATTAGATTACTACTGACGTACTGGTTACACCCGACTGTGATATTAACTCATACTCTATACACTATGTACACCATGTAATATTATACTGGATTTATACACTAAAAATATTACGTTGACGAAATATACATGTTAAATGGTTTATACATATAACTCGTAAGCTCGTTAACTTTTCTTAATTAACTGAATCTTCCCTGTCTCCGAGAGAAAGATATTCCTTCCATTTTTAAATTTATCATATTATCGCGATACAAAATAAAACCATTACCATTGGTCAACAGTTTACATTATGTGAAAAATACTTTCTAATGTGACTTACCAATTGTACTTGAACAATGCAAGGGAAGTAGCTATGTATGGCAGCATAAAATATATTGAAAACTGATGTGCTTTCCATTGACTACCAAATAATTCTATAATATTAAAGATGAGAATACTGGTAGCAATTATTAAGCTTTGTCCAACTTCCAGGCCATTTATCCCAGCTAATATATTTATGGCGTTCGTACAAAATACTGCCAACATTCCCATGTATAGGTAGTAAAAAACCCATAAATCCAATGAAAAACCAAAGCATTGTCTCAGTGGTTTTGGTATGATGATTATCGTGGAATTAAAGTTAACATAATAAACCATTAGCAATGGCAAGGATGCTACAGTGGGTAAAAGTAACTTGTGCCGCCAACGAAGATCCAGAACATCATCAGCAAAACCCAACAGTAGCATGCAACATATGGACAACAATGCTGCCAAGAATTCAACAAACTGTAATGGAAAACTTGCGCATTACATTGTGTTTGTGTTCTTTCTCAAAGTCTCTCTTTTGCCTCTCAATTAAATGTAAATATGTTTATTCCCATAAATATTAGCCAATACCTATAATTCAACTAATTGTTACTAAAATTAGAATTGAAGGAAAAATATCAGTTGCACTTAATTTCGACCAAGACTTTTGGAGGCAGTTTTGCACATCATACAAACAGATGTCATACCTTATCATGTGGAAAATTTTCATTCTTCAGTATGTAATCTGTGAATGGTACAGGAATAAACAGGAACATTGTTATGAGGAATATACATCCAGTAAAAACACCTATTGCCTCTGGCCTGCAATAGTAAATCGACCATATATACATGCATCGTTGTCGGTATATAAAGAAGGAACTTATGGAGATGTATTATGCAATATAATATTACAGCTAAACGCACTACGTTATGTTTCTTGTTTTACTCACACTTTTTCGTTGCTCCTTTTGCTCATATCGATGCCACAGAGGTTAGCTTTGAGAAATATGGATATTATCTTGGGAATTAAATACACGGTCGAATAAAACGCGATCACAGACATTATCACATTGATGCATATTGGAAATAACAATCTCCATGTCTCATCCATGATATTCATCTCATCAAAACTACGCGCGTAGCACCGGTTCGATCAACCGTACAACTTCATCGACTCCAACGAGTTCAACCCAACCAACAACGTAGCTGTAACAAGCACAACTTCGATCGGCACCTAATAAAACTTGATAAACTTCGTTATGCCGATAATGAGATTGCAACATAATGCATTGATGATTCGTTACTATCGAATACGTAATACGTGTATTTTATTTCGTTATGGGCGCCACCATGAACGGTACGCTGACTGATCGAAAATCGACGGAATCGATTGCGACGAGAAATATAATTAATATACAGTTAATATACTCGCAGCTTTTTCAACGTGAATATCAGCTGTTGATGACAGGTTTTTTGAATAATCGGAAATCAAACCTTTTTAAACAAAATTCTAATGATAAAAATCTGCATCAATACAGGAATTTTTTCTCTTATCATACAACCTATTTCGAATTTTGCTGCAATCATTTTATATGTGTAACTGTACTAATTTCTTTTAAATCAACAGTTTTTCCTTTATTATATTCTACTTGAGAAGGTACTTGCTGCTTATCTTTATAATTATTTTTCTATGTTGTTTTTTTTCTCTTTCATATATTAGTTACATTTTTCAACTAGAAATTTCGAAAGTATTTTATGTATCTTAGGCATAATGTATTATGATGTATCTTGTATGATGATGTACCTGCCATAATGTTACATTATCTATCGCAATCAATTTTGCTGACTTTCATTACATCATAAACACAGAAAGTACGGTTACACGAAGGCGCTAGGCGCAGTGTCATGATGTCAGGGATAGTTGAACACGCGACACACACGGTATGTATATTTATCCATGTCGCGAGGCTGCAATTTTCGTACTTTTTTTTTCTTTTATTAACTTTGATAAGATATCTGACGATTGATGGAATCAAGCAGATTCTGTTTTACAGCCGCAGTGAATTCACAAACAATCTGGCGAACTCCAAATCCGAGAAGTAGACGAACACATAACCCTTTAAAACTGTCATCTGTACATTTAATACTTTTGATAACTAAATCAACAAACAGTCAAGAATAATTGAAAGGCATAAATATTATACCTGAATTAACGTGTGACAAGTTCCCAAACTTGGTAAGTAAACGACATAATTGTAAAATTTCAATGTTCTTTTGATGTCAGCTCCTATATAAGACATAGAAATACAATAATCAATTTCAACTTGTAGCAGTCAATGGACTACGAGAAACAAAAAGATGAAGTCACTGCTTTGGAAAGTATCTATAATAAGGAGGAGTTTTCATATAATGAAAAGAATAACCAATTCGATTGTACTTTCAACATATTCGTGAATCTTCCTACAACGTATTATCTGACATACAAAGATCTAAGACATGAAGCCGACTCTACTCAGAAGGTGCAAATATCATATTTACCACCCTTAACATTACATGTTATATTACCAGAGGATTATCCATCTATATCAGCTCCAGTATTTACATTATGTTCCTCTTGGTTGCGCCTGTCAGCATTAGCTAAGTTATGTAAAAAACTAGATTTGTTGTGGGAAAATAGCAAACAGGAGATCTTGTTCACATGGGTGGAGTTTCTTCAGAATGAAACACTCAAATTCTTAAAAATAAAAGAATATTTAGATATGGACTACATATATACATCTTATAAGAAAACATTGGAAAAAATACAAATTTTGCAAGCAAATAAGGAAACTGGCGAATGTCACAAACAGCACAATAGTGAAGTCAGTAAGGAGAGTACCGCAACAAAGAAAAATAACTCCATCGATAAAAGAGCTATTTTAGAATGCCCTATTGGTAGAAATCCCATTCAAGTTCTGGTTAACTACAATGAGCAACGGAAACAAATAGAATTCAAAAAGAATTTTTACACTTGTAATATTTGTTTTACTGATAAATCAGGGGAACATTGTACTCAATTTTTGCCTTGTGCTCACACTTTTTGCAAAGATTGCATCAGAGGTTACTTTGAAGTAAGAATCAAAGAAGGAAATGTACAGAATATTTGTTGTCCTGAGGAAAAATGCAAATTCGAGGCTACACCTGGCCAGGTAATGATTTTTTTATATATATAACTCATATTCAATCGTCGATCATTAATATTGGAACAACATTAGTAAACTATGTGAAATATTTGTTGGTTTTCTTTCAGATAAAAGATCTGGTGAGTTCAGAATTATTTTCAAAATATGATTCAATATTGTTAAGTGCTACATTAGACACTATGACGGATATAGTTTATTGCCCACGACGACACTGTCAATATCCAGTTACTCGCGATCTTAACGATCAAATGGCGAAATGTCCCGTTTGCCAATATGCATTCTGTGTTCGTTGCAAGATGGTTTATCATGGAGTAGAACCCTGTAAAATCAGTTCTGGTATGTAGCTAGATTCTACTAACATAAACAATTACTTTTCATAGCAAAACATTCATGTCAAAAGAGAAATTATATTAATTACGTCGATTGGTTGATAGCTGAGAAACAACGATTAGTCAATGAATACCAATCAGCTAGTAATGAAAAGAAAGCTGAAATGGAGCAACGTTATGGTAAAAAACAGCTCCAGACTTTGATAGAAAACACTATGTCTGAAAATTGGATCAACGACAACAGCCATAATTGTCCTCACTGCAAGAGCGCTATTGAGGTAAGAATCTATTACTTTTTTCCTACAACACACTGGAAGAATTCATTTCCGAACAATAATTTAAAATCTACATTTCAATCTAGATCGCTTCTAGCTTGAAAAAGACTATTGATATCTTCGTAATATTCATTCTTTAAAAATATGGATTTAGAAAATAATTTGAAAGCAAATGCTTGCTATTGTAAATTCGATTACATTTTTTACCAGTGCTTATGATAAGCTTATTGATCGTGAATCATTTCAGAAATCGGATGGCTGTAACAAGATGACATGTTCACATTGTGGCACATATTTCTGTTGGCTGTGCGGCATGCGGCTCAATCCTGAGGCACCTTACTTACACTTTCGTAATCCAGAATCCAAATGTTTCGATATGTTGTATCGCGATGTGATACCCGACGAGCCAGACGATGACGATGATTTCGATCACGCCGAGTATCTAGAGTATTATTACTATACGGATGACGGAGACTTTTATGATGAAGATTTTTATGATGAAGGTTGGAATTAGATATCTGAATTAATGTTAATTTATCCATGAATTAATGTTAATTTACGGTTTGTCAAATTTGTGAAATATATTTCAAGAAATCGGCACTTGTTGAATATAGTCATTTTTAAACAGTTGCTGTTCACTATAGATAAGTAATTGTAGCTGCGTTTCAAAACGAGTTATTCGAGAAGTGAAAGATCATTGTAATTAATGTATTATAATCGATGTTGATTTGTGACAAGTTGAAAATGTAATTTCAAATCGATTTATTTAAAATGTAATTTAAATAAAATAATTTATATTATTTGTATTATATATCAAATTTACTTTTTATAGTTTTATACAATTATTTTAAACGTCTGTTTAGGGAATTCATCTTGTAAGCTATGTTACAGTAAAGACAAATTTAACGACAGTTTCCGAAATTATAAGTTTTCATAAGATAGCATACTCGTATCTGGCTACTGCGAAATTGCTACTGTAAAAGCGAAATATAATAAATAATTTTCCAATAGCATGATCATTGATACCATCTCTGTTCGCGCATAAAACTACTTATTTTGTTTGCTCATGTACAATCATTGACATCATAAAGATTTTCAAATGTTGCGAGTATATAATCAAAATTCACTATGAAATGTTTGTAAGGATAAAATTACTGATAAAATAATATCTAATACAATGAATGTGTAATCACTCTTGATGCAAGCGCCGTGCCCAAATCCGTAGGTTGTCATAATAAAAATAAAACGCAATCGATATAACAGAAGGATACATTCAATAACTCTACTATAGCTCAGGAAAGGTACGGAATGACATCGAGTAATGACGAGAAGCTTGCGTTGCAAATATGTTCAGTATTTTATTTCAAGAGATAGCAGAATCGTATCTTTTCAAGAGAGCCGTCATTTTAATATTCCTCGGCGCCTTCCTCGCCTTCGCCCTCCGCGGAATCCATTCCGACCTCCTCGTAATCCTTCTCGAGCGCGGCGAGATCTTCACGCGCCTCGGAGAATTCTCCTTCTTCCATACCCTCGCCGACGTACCAGTGAACAAACGCACGCTTAGCATACATGAGATCGAACTTATGGTCAAGACGAGCCCAAGCCTCGGCGATGGCTGTAGTGTTGGATAACATGCAAACGGCGCGTTGCACCTTGGCGAGATCGCCGCCCGGCACGACAGTCGGCGGCTGGTAATTGATGCCGACTTTGAAACCGGTGGGGCACCAGTCGACGAATTGGATGGTCCTCTTGGTCTTGATGGTGGCGATCGCCGCATTTACATCCTTAGGTACGACGTCACCGCGGTACAACATGCAACAAGCCATATACTTGCCATGACGCGGATCGCACTTGACCATCTGGTTAGCCGGCTCGAAGCAGGCATTGGTGATTTCCGAGACGGAAAGCTGCTCGTGATATGCTTTCTCCGCTGAGATAACAGGCGCGTAAGTAACAAGAGGGAAGTGGATGCGCGGATAGGGCACCAAATTGGTCTGAAACTCGGTGAGGTCAACGTTCAGTGCGCCATCGAACCGCAGGGATGCTGTGATGGAGGAGACGATTTGGCCGATCAGACGATTCAAATTCGTGTAAGTCGGCCGTTCAATGTCCAAGTTGCGACGGCAGATGTCGTAGATCGCCTCATTATCAACCATGAATGCACAGTCTGAGTGTTCCAGGGTGGTATGCGTCGTCAAGATCGAGTTGTACGGTTCGACTACAGCTGTGGAGACCTGCGGTGCGGGATAAATGGCAAACTCAAGCTTTGACTTCTTTCCGTAGTCAACAGACAGACGTTCCATCAAGAGGGAGGTGAAGCCGGAGCCGGTACCGCCGCCGAACGAGTGGAAAATTAGGAAACCTTGCAAGCCAGTGCATTGATCCGCGAGTTTGCGGATACGATCCAGTACGAGATCCACAATCTCCTTGCCAATTGTATAATGGCCACGAGCGTAATTATTCGCAGCATCTTCCTTGCCAGTGATCAGCTGTTCTGGATGGAAGAGCTGGCGGTAAGTTCCAGTACGAACCTCATCTACGAACAAGAATTCATGATTCACATATATTTTTGCAATATATCATGTTATATTATATTTGAATTGGATAAATTGTACACACCAACTACAGTAGGTTCCAAATCAATAAAGACAGCCCTGGGTACATGTTTGCCAGCACCAGTTTCACTGAAGAAAGTATTGAAGCTGTCATCCCCACCTCCGATACTCTTGTCAGATGGCATTTGACCATCCGGTTGAATGCCATGTTCCAGGCAATATAACTCCCAGCAGGCATTGCCAATCTGTACTCCAGCTTGTCCAACATGGATTGAGATACATTCACGCTAAAATAATCATAAATGTTAGAACTGTGTTTGCTTAAACTCTATTATAAAATAGATAATAAATAACTAGCGAAACAAAAAGCAACATGGTGATTTTAGAGGAAGGTCAATGCCTTGTTCGTTCATGCGGTAAAACAACTTAATACTCTATATACATATATATATATAGCTACGAGATCTTCACGATATTAATAACGATTAGAAACGCATACAATGTAACAAAATTAATTACAAAATTTCCGCGATAATCACAATAGAAACGACGTTGACTAAAAACTTGAAGGAAGCCGTAGCCGGCCGGCGTCCGTTATAAAATGGCTGACATTCCACGCGAAGACGATGGGCGGTGTCGCGCGGGAGAGCTCACGATATCAAGAAGAATAAGATTATTCATTCAACTCACCATTTTGTATTATGATTGTTCGTTGACTTCTTACAAAAAAGAAAAAGGGTTAAATAACCGCACGGGAGATCGATAGTTGGCGAAAGCAAGTAATGGAGCTTTTGCTAACAACTATACGACGTTTCACATCCGTCTGACGAGAGACTAGTGCGCGAACGCCCCTACCGCGACAATTTATATACCAGCCGGGATCGACGGTTTCAGAACGTGCCGATAGGTCCACGGTGACCTCACGTCTCGTCAGGATTGGTCCACGCTGGACCGCAGCACTCATCGCTTCGGAGAACGTTTCTCCACGCGGCGAATGTAGTTCCGGAACGTTGACACAATTGCATTAATCCATTTTACAATATACCGTCATTTCGAATGCCATAATGTATGATTTAGGATTGCGCGAAGGCGTCCGAACGAACGCCGCCGTCGACGCGCAATGTGCGACGAATTATATGCTGGAATCATGCGAGGATCTCGTCGTACATTATTCACGTTGCAAGGCTGCGGCCGGTGTACATTTGTGTCAATTGCACCATATATGGGCCGCGTCTTTCGAGGTATGACCGAATCGTTTTCTCCGACGTTTCTTTTTTGGGTAGAACCCAGCGACAGCGCGTGAACGCCCATGAGTCCAAGTCTGGAGATGATCGAATTATTGTTGCTCGGCCGAATCGTCGTCATTACTATATCATCGTCAACGCATAAATAATTCATATTTCAACGTCTAGAAAGCGACGTTCGATGTTTCATGATCTGATTCCCCCTCGTTTTGTTCGAATTCACTCCGCCCATTTTTCAGTCCTTTCCATGTCCATGATGTAGAATACAGTTACGTTGCTCGCGTGCAACGATAACTCGGCTCATCTAAGTTAACGGGAAAATAGCCAGAAAATCAAATACAAAAACGCGAGGTCGTTTATAAATATTCATAACGGTTAGTTAGAGAATATAACATGTGTCCCGATCGAGTTTGCTTCGATTTTCAATTTCAATCGGGTAGACGGTAGATTGAAAGAGAACGCGAAAGAATGGTAGAGCCTAGACCTTTGTACTTTCAAGTAGTAGTACAACTCAATGAGTGGTCAGACCACCTTTCATATTTTCAACTTGTACGGTGAAACGATAAAGCAGGAAACTTAAAAAATGATTCGTTTAATGTTTTAATAATAAAAAATACGTGAACTGATTATTCTTCGTTGGCGATTAAATAGGCGTATCTTGGGATGTTTTGTATTTATGTTTAAATGTTTCCACTTGATATGTATTAGAGTAGTTCGGTTATAACCGCCAGTCAGTTGTTATCGCCGACTATTGTTTGAGAAAGTTTCTCTAGAATATTTTAAGTTGGAAACTCTTGCTTTTTTTTCATCTTAATAAAGGTAATATTGTAGATTAGAACTACAGATGTCATATAAAAGATTCATTAATATGCCAATACATGCAAGAATATTTTCAACAATTCTAGTTTTGATCAAAAATATCTCTCACTATTGTCCATTGATATCTATAAATTAACTGTAATAATTATTTCTTATCCAATTATTTCCTTGTCTAAAAAAAATCGTCAATCTTAATAAAATTTGAAGATGAAAACGTTAGGTGTTGATAAATGTTAGGTTAGGCAAAATTTATGCTTGAATTAGTGAGTATTGAAAGTTGAAAAAGAAATTATATTTATAGTGATGATTAAAATCTTCGACTTAAGGTTTATATTTTAAAGACATGAAAAATCAGTGCTGTGAATTGCTGTGAATCTAAAGACGGAATAATTATAATAAATTGATGCAATTGTGATCCAAAGAAACTTGACCAATGCAAAATGCAGTCAGAAGTAAATGACATATCAGAAAGATCGTTACAAAAAGCCAAGGAACATGACAGGAATGGAAATTATGGGAAGGCTTATGCATATTACACCATAGTTGCTGAATTATGTCCTGCAAAAAGATCAGAAATTGAGGAAACATTTACAGATATACTATGTAAGAAACATAATTTTTTATATTGCATTTTATATTGTCCTTTATATTGTGTGCTGTTTATATAAAGACATTTTGTAATTTTCAGGTACATGGGGGATTGAGTTGGCAGAAAACAATAGATTGTCTGATGTTGTACGTTGTTATAAATATTCCTTGGATATCTATCCAAACAATCCTCGTATGCTCAATAATTTTGCAGCACATTTGTTAAGGTAAAGTAATTTTTATTTTGAAATATGTGATTCTACTTTAATACTGATACAAACATTGATTCTAATTTCTCAATTATTTCCACCATGAATTACAAGTATATTATTTTTCATCTTTTAAAAATTCGGACAATATATATCACATATATTGTTAAAGGAATAACGATCCTGTAAGGGCAATAGAATATTTAAGAAGAGCTTTGAAAGTTGATCCTAACTTTCTACCAGCAGAACGAAATTTACAAAATGCATTTAGTATGGCAGTAGACAGATGGCACTTTACAATGCTCAATGACAAGCACAGAAATAGTGCTTTTGAGCAAGCTATACGTAAAAGAATTCATCAAGGATATAATACAGTGTTGGATGTAGGAACTGGTACAGGTCTTTTGAGTCTATACGCAAAGGATGCAGGAGCTATAAAAGTCTACGCATGTGAATGCTCGGAAGTAATGACACGAATCGCAAAAGAAGTATTCGAGTCTAATAATGCATCGGATGTAGAGTTAATACCGAAACTATCGTTCGATCTTAAAGTACCTACAGACATTCCAGAAAGGTTTGTTGCAACAAAATACAAATATTTTATTAATATAATACATTAATCAACAATAAAGAATATACATATACCTGTATAATTCTAGAGTACAATTAATAGTGACTGAAACGTTTGATGCCGGCTTATTCGGGGAGCTTGTAGTACCGTCTTTGATTAACGTGCACATGAATATTTTAGATTTATATGGTATAATAATACCTATGGGCGCGACGGTTTACACAGCAGCCATCGAATGTGAATATGTTAGACTTAGATCGTCAGTGATCTTTGAAAAAGTAAAAGATATTTGCCTTTTGAATTTCAATAACTTGTCGGTATTGCCGGATGATGAATATTATGAGGCGGAGAATCTGGAAAAAGTCCAAATTAAATATATCACAGAGCCGCAAAAACTCTTCCATGTGAATTTCAACGAATTGCAAGAGCTGCGGAAATTTCACAAGGACGGACTCAAGCAGTTAATGCGAGCGAAATGTAAATACAATGGTATCATAGATGGTCTTGTCACTTGGTTCAAGCTACATCTCGACGAGGAAATCACGTTGGATTCCTCTGACAGAAAATCTTGTTGGGATCTTGCTATTTTTCCAACGACACACACCGTGTGCCATGAAGGTGATGTCGTAACAATAAAAGCGGAGATTTTAAAGAGTAAATTGAAGTGTTCTTGTAGCATGGGAAATACGGAACTTAACGCGACGGATTGTAAAACCTTGTACCATCTACCAAAAGAGGTCATTGTCTTCCTGAATGACTTTGATTACGTGAAATTGCTCACCGAGATCGGCAGATCTCATAAGAGTAGAAATATAAAATATATTTTAGATATTTCGCCTTTTCCGATTTACGGTTTAACAATTTTGAAGGAGTGTAAAGACAGCGAACTTTTATACTACAAAACTGACAATCCAACGCTTCGTTCTCTGGTTGAGCGAGTGGCTCGAGATAACAAGCTACAGGATAAAGTACGTACGATATCAAACTACGATGAGATTCCATGCCACGTAGATTCTATATTCGTTCATAACTTTGATATTAAAGGTGAATTGCGAGATAGTCATCATGAGATCTTGAGGTAAAATTTTTATATAATATATATCCACACGTATTATATATACTCTATGTAATTATATATATTACAATATTACAAATATCTTGCCAAACCCTCGTTTTAGGTGTCTATTAAAACCAGAGAGTCCATTATTGCCGGAAAAAATTTTTCTTATAGGACAATTAGTATACTCGGAGGATTTACCGAACATGGTTTATGTGCAAGATGCAAATCTCAAGATACCATCTTATTCTAATTTCTATACTGACACGGTATATTAATACAATTTTCATATATAATTTTTGATGATGTTTAAATAACTTTGATACGCAAGCGTGCACTTGCAATAAAGGAAAAAATTATTAAACATAAATGTTATAATAAATAACAATATTTTTTTTCCAGAGTTCAAATAATGAGGATTGTCCACACACACAAAATAATAAAAGAAATAAAAGTACAAACTACATAATTGCAGAACACATTAACAAATACAAGGTAGCTTTATTAAAATTTTATATTAAAGTAAAATTATCAACAAAATTTATGTTCGCTTACTATGTTGCAGATCAATCAAATATTCGATTTACATTCGAGCTTATATTCGTGTGAGATCTTGTCCGAGCCACAAGTATTGGCAGAAATAAACGAAACGGAAACTACCGAAGCAGTTGTAACCTTCGGAAAAATAAGTAGGGCGAAAGAAACTCTACCAAATGCCTTAATATGTTGGTACAAGATACAGCTTAGTCCGGATCATATACATGACACAAAAAAGAATGATTCTTTCATGAATCATACTGCAGTCGTCTTTGAAGATGATTTGCGAGACATTATTCTGAGAGATCAAGAAGTGAAAATTAAAGTCCATCATATGAAAGGTTTGGTAAAAATTACGGTACTACATTTGTAAAAATCTACAACAAAAAATAAACTATTTTACAATTTTGTATACAATTTCTTATTAAACTTGACATTTACAATATATTCTTCTTTTTATATAAATTTTGTGTAACTGTTTGTTTAACCAATAACCCTTTATCCTTTTATATAAATATCATAATACATAATTATATTATTACATTGTGTTGATATTATATATCTATAATATTAGATCATGTTGGTCTCTTATATGATCTTTTTAGTGTGTTACTAAGTTAATTTGGATGAATAATCAATGTATTCAAACTTATTTTCACTACTACTTACTTTATTTTCTTACTTTATTAATTTTCATTACTTTATAACTTACTAGAATTATTATGTAATATCTCACATATAAATGGCGCAATTCTTTCAGGATGATTATTATGAAAATCGTGATTTCCCTTTATACAAATTAACTGAGATAAACTTGTAGGATTTATTGATTCTATTACTTTAGCGACTTCATTAAATTGTATTTCTAAACCATGAGATGCAATAAACAGATACAATGGGACTGAAAGATTACGTACAATATAAATCAATCCCTGTAAACTTAATGATGATAATCTTTTTCTTTTTAATCGGTTATCCCTAACAAATTTGTATCTCCCATTAGTTTCTGTGACAGCACGTTTAAATATAGCTTCTGCAGCATCTGAATTTAAGGCTGCACTTCTCTTATTTTTTAAAGCATGTAATACTTCTTCTTTGGTATATAAGTATGATTTTACATTATTTTCGGCTTCTATTGTTAATGTATATAACTCTTTAAAAACCCTTATAAACATAGTTTCTGTATTTGCAGTTACTGGGATAATTCCATCAAGGGCAATTAATTTTTCAATTCTATGAGGTTGAGAAACACTAAAAAATATACCAATTAGTGCACCTATACTATGACCTATGTAAATACATGTTTTCCATTGTAGTGCTTCTAAAACATAGTGTATTACATGTACATAATTAATAATATCTATTACTATCCAAGATGGAAAGTATGACGAATGTCCATGACCAGGTAAATCTATGCACACATAATAATATTCCATTGGTAAATATTTCACTAATCTAGTGAATGTTCCTAAGTTATCCATTAAACCATGCACCATTAAAACAAATTTTCCTGTGGATGAGCCATATGCTTTTGCAGCAATATGACCCCAAGGCACTATAAGTTTTAGCTCTGTATATTGTTGTTCCATTTCTGCCATTGTTACTAATGTCACTTTTATGATAAATAATTATTCACTATAATGTGCAATAACTTCACTGAAAAAGTCACTGAAAAAATTTTGTTTAAGAAATATTTATAATATATTTTTCTCTTTAATGATTAGGCAAAAAAAATATACTGTGTCAATGTAATTTACTATTAATATATAATTATATCTCATATCTATAAAAACACAATTTTTACATTGCTTATAAAGAATATTATAAAGTTGTAATTATTAGGCCTTATAAGCTATATATATTAAGTTATATATATTAGGCTTATAAAGTTATAGTGATTTCTAGCAATTTTTTTCTTTTGTTAATCATCAATATGTTACAATTGCCTTGTTTTGTCGTACTATGTTTTATTGTCTATATATCATTATTTTAATTAATATATGCATATTATGGTAAAACATTGTAATTTGTAATTGTAATTGTAACATTGTATTAAATTATCTAATAATAAAGTCATTTTTTACTTACAGAAAAACAAAATAACAGTCTGTATTGCAGTATGTATCGTTTTCAAAATTCTTTTTTCTTTTTTCCTTCTTTCAAGATGCTTTTATTATCGTTGTAAACGTTAACACGTTTCAAAATTGTTCCTTATGAATGCTGTATTTCAACAAACCTTTTTCCGTTGTGTCCAATCTTCTGTTTTTGGATGACAACTATTACTACTGTTACTATTACTCGCTATTCCATTCGGCGTTTTTTACTTGTGCTTATTAAGATTACGTATTTTGGCAACAAAAAGAAAGCAGGAAATTACATCCCGATAATTATTCAAGACAAAACATTTGTCAATTCCAGGTAGATAAACTTGCAAACATGCAACAGGATCTAATGGCAGAGTACAACTGATAAACTAGAAAAGAAAGCGAATGGTATGTATAATTTTATCTAGCCATGACTGGGCATAATGATAATGAGTTCCACTACTTTATGAAAATATAACTATATAATACATATGCAAACACAAATACTTCCTACACATTCATTCCGTAAATGGCTGTGCGCTGGAAAACCCCAAGCTGACGCCAACTTCCCCGTATCTCCTATACATTAATTCATTCATTCCTTCATTCATTTAATTGGTCTGTTCTTTGTAGCTGCACTGCTGAACTGGTGCAATAAGCTAGAGTGAGAAAATCTATATCTGTCTAATTTTAACTTATTGCACCAGTTCTACAGTACAGCTACAAAGAACAGACTAAATGTACTATATGGGCTGAAAAGTCTTTGGCCTGACATATAAGTGGTGCCACAAACTAAAAATCCTTATATTTCCTATAGAGTACCAACCTTAACTTAGATGCTGTAAAAATTTCATGATATTTCGTTGACTCGTGTACAAGTTATAGCTTTCGAAGTGACGTTACCTCTGAATTTATCTTTACTATGGAAAAAAGTGAATTTCGTGTTTTGATTAAACATTGCTTCCTGATGGGAAAAAACACTGTTGAAGCAAAGGCATAGCTTGATAAATGTTACGGCACATCTACCCCACCGAATTCAACCATCAAATATTGGTTTGCTGAGTTTCGTCGTAACCATACGAACACAAATGATGCACCACGTTCAGGAAGGCCAAATGAGGCAGTTACTCCAGAAAACATCCAGAAAATCAGTGAAATCGTGTTGAATAACCGCAAAATGAAATTGAGTGAACTAGCTAACATCATAGGCGTCTCAAAGGAACGCGTTGGTCATATCATTCATGAATATTTACACATGAAAAAGCTTTGCGCGCGTTGGGTGCCGCGTTTTTTAACAATTGAGCAAAAAGCGGAACGTGTTCGACTTTCAAAGCAAAATCTGGCCCTGTTTAACCGCAATAAGAAGGAGTTTTTGCGTCGATTTATCACAATGGATGAAACATGGATCCATCACTACACACCGGAGTCCAATCGGCAGTCAGCGGAGTGGTTGTTGCCTGGTGAAAGCCGTCCGAAGTGCCCGAAGACACAACAATCAGCTGGCAAGGTTTTGGCCAGTATTTTTTGGGATGCGCATAACATAATATTCATTGATTATCTTGAACATGGTAAAACTATCAATAAAGAATATTACTGTACATTACTGGATCGATTGGACGACGAGGTCAAGGTCAAACGGCCACATTTGGCAAAGAAAAAAATTTTGTTTCACCAAGACAATGCTCCAACTCACTCGGCTCGCGATACGACCGATAAATTAAAGAAATTGCGCTATGAATTGGTCCCGCATCCCCCGTATTCTCCAGACCTGGCCCCCAGCGACTATTTCCTTTTTCCCCGACTGAAGCAGTGGCTCGCTGGTAAAAGATTTTACTCGAATGAGGAGATCAAGTTGGAAACAAATGCCTATTTTGAGGGACTTGACACCGAGCACTATAAGACCGGCATCGAAATGTTAGCGGACCGTTACACTAAGTGCATTACTCTAAATGGAGATTATGTCGAGGAATAAAATACTTTTTTCATTAAAAAAATCGTTTTTTCATTGTTAAGCCAAAGACTTTTCAGCCCATGTAGTATAGCTCTGAGCAGAGTTATTACACTCGTTCTCTTACGCCAATCACAACGATTTTGGAAATAAAAGAGAAACAGGGACAATGCGTACACTCAGAGGCAGGTATGGTGTCCCTCGGCGATGTCGCATACGCTTGTAAAACAATCGAAAGCGATGACAGACATATACGCATACGCATATGGGCATGTCTGTGAAGTTAGTACGTTTAAAAAAAAAAAAAAAAACGATACTAGTTCCAGTAGCACTTTTCATAGGTCCATAGTTCCTGACCAAAAGAAAAAAAGTTCCGCATTTGTAATACCAAAGAATCGAAATTGAAAAAATGTTGCTAACTTCCGTTCCAGCACGACACAGTTCCCTCTAAAGTTCCAGAAGGCTTTATGTAATAGGCGTTCTGACGAGAATCTCCGTTAGTTCTAGTATAGATACATAGCAATTCCGAATTTCAGTACCAAATTGCATCAAATAACAACATAGCATCTTTGAAACATTGACGTGCTAGCACGGCACTCTACGAAAATGCATCGTGCCAACGACTTCCGGCACATTTGACGACTGTTCTAGTTTGTTCTACTCGAGTTCTATCCATTTTAATCGGGTTCAGAGGTTCCAACGTGCAAGTATTTTTTTATGAATTTTGAAATTTAGCGCCAGCACGACACTCTATGGCTGCGTTCCGATATTCACTGCCAGCACTGAAATTCTATAGTATACGTGACACAAACTATGTATTTTCAGTACTGGCAGTGAATTTCGGAACGCAGCCTATGAAGGCTGAGTTCCGATATTCACTGCCAGTACTGAAAATATATAGTTTGTGTCACGTATGCTATAGATTTTCAGTACTGACAGTAAATATCGGAATGCAGTCGAAAATGCATCGTGCCGACGACTTCCGGCACGTTTGACGGCTGTTCTAGTTTGTTCTACTCCAGTTCTATCCATATCAACCGGTTTCAGCGAGTGTTCCGACACACAAGTAGATTGGATCGAAAGTTGGCAGTTAAAACCGGTCTCCTCTCACACACACACACTCCCTCTCTCTCTCCCCCACACACTGTCTTCTCTCCCTCTCTACCCCTCATCACCCTCTCTCATCCTCCCCTCTCTGTCTTTCTTTCTTTTTCGCACACACTCTCTCTTTCCCTCCCTCTCCCTCGCCACTTCCCCTCTCGCTTTCACTCTCGCCCCTCTCCCCTCTCTCTCACTCTCTCACACGCTCTCTCTCTCTCTCTCTCTCTCTCACACTCCCGTCTGTCACACTCTTATACTCACACTTTCTCCCTCACATTCTCCTCTCTTGTACATTCTCTCTAACACTCTCTTTCTCACACAATCTCTCGCTCATACAAAAATAATAAAAATAATTGAAAAAAGTAATTAAAAATAATTTTAAAAATGAAGCACTATAAAGCATATATGCTCCAACAACGAGTAATATTTACTGTGACATGTCAAAATAGTGAAAAATTAAAATTATTTAATTACATATAATTATTGTTAATCTACTTACACACACACACACACACACACACAACTTATGTAAATACAATATTTATTATTTTTTCCTCTTGTTCACTTTATATGCTCACTTATTATTTTATTACTTATATTCTCACTTATTTATTTCACTTATTACGTATTTTAGGTTTCCATTTACTTGTCATTTTTATTTAATTTTATTTTAATGAAATGCTACAATATATTTTATATTTACGTTTTTATACAGGGTGTCTCAGAACTTTGGGACACGGGTTCCGTAAGGACATAGAGCTAAGTGAGAAGAACAAAAAAGTCTTTTACCATAATGTGGAAATCGTAATAGTTTTTTGTAATAACCGCGTAAAGTTTGGTGTTTTCCACGCCCATCGCGGCCAATAGACACTCCGCGGCAAGCTGTGTGCGTAGGAGCTGAGCAATAACGCGTCTCGCGCTGACTGTCGCGATGGCGTCTTGACGATTTGACGCCGCGCGAGGGTCAGCGCGAGCCGCGTTATCGCTCAGCCCTTAATGCTACGTCTACAATGGAGTCGTAAAGTCGTGAAGTCGTAAAGTCGTAAAGTTGTGAGCTGGGTCCTATGCTTGTACAAAGTTCAATTAGTCGCTGGATCGGAGTGTAAACCAATCAGAGAGCAGGATATTGCCCGTACATAATACGAATGATCGATTGTGTTTATGTGTGTTATTGAAATAGAAATATAATGGAATTTCGTGCAATTTGTAGTATTTCTTTGTTATTAAATGCTTACCATTTGAATTTAATATCGATATATTTATATCTAAAACGAAGAAAACAAAAAAGATGGTGGATAAGACCTATAAATAGAAGCAGAGATTATTTAGGATATTTCAATAAACAATTCAAAGAGGTATATGAGACAGATCATGAAGAACTTTTTAGTATGACACGAATGACACCTGTCCACTATGATTATTTGTGCCATATTGTCAGACCTTTTCTTAGAAAAAGGAGATATATAAAAAGATATATAAAAAGGAGATATATAAGATGATATATCTTATGAAAATCTGTTGATACCACAAAGCAAGGCTATTGTTTCATGATTAAACTGTATGTTCCACAAAAGTATTACTTTTAATATTCATATTGAGTTTTCTTCTTTTAACAGTACAACTGTTATATAGAGAATATAGAGGAGAAAGTTTTGCAACTGTGTAAAAATACGTGAATCTGATTGATGGTATGCTTTTAATCTTGATTGAATTTAAAAATATATACCAATTAGATCAATTTTATAACATTTTCATAACTTTCTCTGCTGATTGCTGACAATATTCCATATAGAATCCAACTACACTATAACATATGATATAATAGGACAATTATATTTTTAATATTTTCTATCAGCAATGACTATATAATTATTCACTCATGCTGAAATGATTCCAATATTTCCAACAGTTTGACAAAATATTTTATTCTTTGTTGCATAGGTACACGTTTTATTCCATGTAACAAGACTGTCACCATACTTTTCTCTTCTTCTGTATCTGGCGTGAAAGTTGTACTGTTCAGCAATGCTGGCAAAGCTGAACAGACTGCAGTAACAGCCTGTGATGATTCCATAATTAGAGAATTCACATCAAGACTTATATTCTTTCTTTTTCTGATATCTGTTTTAGGTATTTTGAGGTTATGTTTATTTGCTAAATCAATATTCTCGCTATCTGAAATTTATTTAGAAGTGTTAAGAATGTAATTAATGATTAAGTTTTCTGTGGGAAATAGTAATTTATCAATTACTTGCCTTCAGAAATATTAATAAAATTTTTATTGCAA